TATACTGCTTCACAGTACTTGTACAGCCCCTCTCTAAGTGGTTTACAGAGTCAGCACATTGCCCACAACAATCTGGGTCCTTATTTTACCAACCTCGGAAGGATGGAAGGCTGAGTCAACCTGAAGCTGGTGAGGATCGAACCCTTGGCAGTGGGCAGAGTTAGCCTGTTTGCTCTTGTTAGATTACTCTGCATCTTTGTTTTTAAGCAATGGGTTTATTGAATGAGCCTGTAGCTGCAATTGCTGTTTGATTAATGAACGGGGCAGTAAGGATTGCCTCAAGTATCTTGATTCACCTCTGTTATAGAATAATGGGCCACACTCCTCCTGGTTTTTAGGAACAGGTATTGGGATATCCTCGTGGCACCTTTAAGACTTGTGGATCCCATCTCACAGAATTCCGCGTCTATAAATAAAAATGTTCTTATATGCCTTTTAAATATTTTCTCTCACCATTAAAATAATTTTTATTTAAATAAATTTGTTTCCTTTGATTAAATGCTTTTCTCCAATCCTTCTACTCTATCAGAGTATTTGAAGTATCTTTAAAAATAGTCTTTTAAAAATATTTTACCTGTCCTTTATTTTAAACAAGTAAGATACTGCTAATTCAAAAAGATGAGAGAGAGATACGGAGGGATACCCTTTAAGTTGTTTTCAAATGCAAGTTTTTAAAAATGTGCTACAGTTACTAAAATAGATTTCGAATTGTTTCCATGACAGTAAAATATAGGATAATTTTGTAAAATCTTTTGAAGCTTTACCTGATGGAACACATTTATTTAACAGTGTGGGTAGAAGCTTTTATTGCATGGTGTAATTGTAATCTAGATGCAGGTGTTAAAGATTTCAAATTGGGTATTTGTTTCTGCTGGAGTGGCTAAATTTTAGAGAAATTGCAAATTAAATATAAGCAGTTTTCTATGATGGGAATGGGGGATGCAGCAGGATCCCACCCTTAAGAGCCTTAAAGAACTGGTTCTTTAACTGAGTTTAAATATGCTTGGGATAATCACATGTCCATCATCTGGCAAAAATTAATTTTTTTAAAAAAAACAACAACCCTCAAAGGGCAGACTTAATGGACCACTAGTTTTCTATGTTTCTAACTCTGGGAGGTAGCTGGACTGAGAGAGTTTGACTGACCCAAAGTCACTCAGCTACCTTTCATGCCTAAGACAGGACTAGAACTCACAATCTCCTGGTATCTAGGCCAGCACCTAAACCACTACATCAGAGTGGTGTAAGCAAAGTTATATAATTTTTTTTAAAGAAACAAGCATGCCCTTCCTATTTTGCGCATTGTCCTAGCGTGTGTAACACTTAGTAAACTCCAATTTGAAGGCATTAAAGATGTATTGACTCACAAAGATACACTGCATTCTGCTGTTTCCTGTTTTTTTTAATCCCAGCAGCTTGTTTCTTAAAATTAACAAATTAATAGATATCTACCAAACCCAGTGGAGACAGTTACTGTTTTTGAAAATTTAGAAGGGGTTCAGAACTTGTTCAAATATTTTTAACCTTCAAAAAGCTTGGTAGGCTTATCACAGCTGTGACAAAAGCTTCTTCTCTTATCTGGTGCTCCCTGGAAAGACCAGGGAGAACACTTGGCATTGTTTTATCACTTGGCCAGTCCAAGAAACACTAGAACCATCCTCTCTTTTAAGAATTGTTGCAGCAGTTCATAAAAGTTTAAGCAAAGCTAGGAGAAAGCTGCTTTCCTTTAAAATATGCCATTCTTTGGTTCTGCTCTTTCTGTGTGCACGTGGAAAGAGAGAAGGAGGGAAAGTGTAAACATTTAGATAAAAATCTCATTCGTACCTAACATCAGTGGTGGGATTCAAATATGTGAATAACTGGTTTTCTGTGTGGAGATGCCGCTTCTGGAAGTCCATTCTGGACTTGGGCAACAAAAAAATTGGCTACCGGTTCTGCCGAAGTGGTGTGAACTGGCTGAATCCCACCACTGCCTAACATTCATCCTACCATAGTTCCTCTGAGGAAAAAACAGTCTGCAAATTTTCTTCCAGAAGAAATTGTGACAAAGTTCTTTGACATTAATGGAATATTGTTTGTTAAAATTCATGCTTTTTTACAGGGGAAAAGAATTATAAGCTTTCCCTAGTGTTTTTGTCTTTGAATGGCTGTGCCATGGGTTATTTTCCCTACTCTTAGAATAACATACTTTATATTATTCTGAGCAAGTGGGATAATATGTAGCATACTCTAACTGCCTCCACTGCAAAACCTCCCTAAGGTAAAATTACTATGAAATCAATTTTCATAACATGCTTTTCCTTTTTCATTTTATACTGTGGAAGCCTAATCACACATTTTCCTTCCCTTCATTGGAAAGTATATCAGAGAATGACTGTAATCAGTTTTAAATAATGGCCAAAGTTGAAATCCCAAAAACAAAGTCAAGTTTACCTACAAACATTTATGATCAATGCCATGTTTACTTAAACTTCTCACCAAGAATTGGTGAAAGTTTTGATACTATGCTGGAAATGGAGAATAAGTTGCTTTCATTGACCGATGTACAGATAGAACAGAGCAGATGCTACAGAAGTAAAATGACCCATGAGGAACAAGACATGGCAGGATAAACATGGCCTTGGGGGAAGTTCATATATAGCAGTCATTGTTTGTCTCCCATTGTTATCAATATATCTTAAAAAATATCTCATTTGTTTGGCTATCAGGAAGGAGATTCAGGTATTCCCATAAAAAAACTAATGTCATCTAGTCTTTATTTCAGTGTTTCCTCTGGTCCAGAGACCCTAAATCAGGGGTGTCAAACTGCCGGCCTGTGGGCCAGATGCGTCATGCCAAAACTGCGCCCACCCCATTGCTGGCAATGAGAAAAAAGTCACAATACGTCACGACATGTCACATGAAGTTGCGAGTTTGATACCTGTGCCCTAAATCAATATATATATATATATATATCACTCTCTCTCCACATATTGAGAGAGATAAATTGTTAGAATGGCTTCTAGTAAGGCTAGTATTTCGAAGATATCTCCCACCTTGCTAGTATTTGAAAAAAGTGAATGCAACTTTAAATATATGGTGTGTCACTAATTCTCTACTCTCTACATTATTTATCTCTGCATACTTAACAGTAAATACAACAAAGGAAGACTGCATAAATGCACAAAGTCACATCAGTGTTATTTCTCAGCCAAGGTAGTATGCTAAAATCTTGGTTTATGGGATCCATTTCTTCAAAGGAGTTATCAGTGTGACTCTTGATATCTCTACTCTCTTTTTTCCACTAATAATCTAATTACAGAATTAGAAATGGCCATTTAGGCCAGCAAATGCAATGTCCAGCTTAGTAATGGACCCTGAATGAAAGTATTTCTGAGAGCTTTCTTCTAAGCCTTCATAGGAACATGTCTAACAAAGGGGAGGCCAATGCTTCTTTGTTCCAGTGTTGAATAGCTCTTACTATTATTTTCTAACATTCAGTTGGAATCTGCCTTCCTGTAATTTAAATCATTTTTATGCATTGCATTCTGGTCATTAAAAGCCCTTGGCCTGTTTTTGCAGAGCTACCATTTCCAGGATTCCTCAAATTGGAAAAAGTGTTTGTTTGTTTTGCATGCTTGCAATATATTTTATCCAATATAAATTAAATTAAGGGTAAATACAACCTTTTAGGTCCATGGTGGCGAACCTATGGCACACGTGCCACAGGTGGCACGCAGAGCCCTCTCTGTGGTAATGCGCGCCATTGCCCCAGTCCTTGGCCTTCAGCTGGGTTTTATAAAACCTTTTCACTTTAGGCCTCCGCCACCATGTGCAAAAAAAAAAAAAAGGTTCAATCAATCAATCAATTTCAACTTTTTGCAGGGAAAAAAACAATCTCGCAAAGTTGGAATTGATTGATTGAACTTTTTAGTCCCACCCAGTCTGCCGTTACCACCGCAGCCATGCCCACCCAATGGGCTACACCCACCCAATGGGCCACACCCACTCAATGGGCCACACCCACCCAATGGGCCACGCCCACCCAGCACCAGACAATACACAAGTGGGTTTTGGGTTGCAGTTTGGGCACTCGGTCTCTAAAAGGTTCGCCATCACTGTCTTAGGTGATCACAGTATGAATCTGGGTGAGAAAAGCTAGTGAGAAGGAAGGAAAGACAGATAGGCTTAGAGGGCAAACCTGTGTGTTAGGTTTCATGGGTTTCATTCCCAGGAAACATAAATATCTAGAATATGTGCTAAAGTACAATATGGCATTTTCAGATACTTTTGAACCTCCATCAACTTCAGTATGGTCATAGCAAGGAACTGGAGGGTATCAAGCTGTTTAATATCAGACTGAATCTATGTGTTCGCTAGGAGTCAAAAATGACTTAACAGCACATAATCAGGTTGCCTATCTGAACATTGAAGATAATAATCTTAATTGATACAGCCAGATTATTCTAATTTTCTTCTGCTTTCTTAAGTTATATAAACTGTTGTTAATTTTGGGATATGAGCTTCATTTTTACACATTGAAGAGATGAAAAGCATTAGAATCAACCTAGGTTTTGACGCAACATGTTGACGATGCATTTCATGGGGTCCTCATATATTCATCTCATTGTGTTTGGTACTTTCTTTCAGCTCCAGATGAAAATGACTGAGAGAGCAGTTTCTCTTGGTACCATGGTCCCTTTGCCCCGGAGTGCCTATTGGCAGCACATCACGCGGCAGCACAGTACCGGACAGCTCTTTGGCTTACAAGGTAGGGTGCTGATATAACATTTCCAAAAATAGTCCCATTGGGTGATGTTATGCGTGAAAGATCTTGAGAGCCAAGAGATGTAGTCAAGGGAACAGTCAATAAGAGACAACATTGCCTGCAACTGGATAATGGGTAGGGCAAGAAGCTCAGAAGTGACCCTCCCTAATTTCTTGGGCTGCAAAGGAGGTGGAGGGAGAGAAGCACTTTCAAACTTGCAAGGTTTTGTTCAATGTAGCTTTACAATAAAGTAGAATGAGCTTATCTGATTGGGATCTGGTTTACCCTGTAAAGTTGACACCAAACTTGCAAGTCTGAAAGTTCACCTCAACCAAGCCACCCCCATCTAATTTATACCCTAAGAAAATAGGAAGGGTCCCTTCCGAACCTTTTGTCCCACCCACTATCCAGTTGTGAGCTATGGTGTCTCTTACCTGATTGTTGCCTTGGCTGTGCCTCTTGGTCTTTCTCATATAACATTGTACATTTCATATTGAACCTCAGAATCATTTATACACCAATGTACAGAGTCACAGGTATTGCCACACCATAGTATGGTATTGCATTAATCAGTGACAGTGTTCAGTGCTTTCTTTCTTTCTCTCCTGGGTAAATGACCTTTTTTGGCTTCCCATTTTAAGGAAGCCCTAATTTTTTATTGTGCTTGTATTACAAATCTTGATGCTTGCCTTCCAAATAGAATTGAAAATCAACTTCAGACCATAGTTCTCAGATTTGGTTTTCCAGATAAAGCACAGTTTGCTGATTTGGATGTGGTGAAAAAGTATGGTTTGGATGGATGAATGAATGAGGAATTAGTAAGTGTAAAACAAGGAGCAAGAACGAAGGGATTGTTGCTACCTATGAAGAGCAAGGTGGAAGACTTTTCTTAGTTGAAAATGTGGCTGACATGCTTTTTAAACGTCACATAATTATTTTCATTTAAGAAAAATATACATTTTGTGCATAAAACCTACTAATTATATCTGAGCGTCCAAGTAATCTTGACTAGATTGCGGATGGAATTGAATAAGTGGCCTGACTTCAAAGTGTTGATCAAGCCACCCATTTTGGAAAGTCTGTGACAATTAGGTCACAGGCTTAATTGATTAATCTTCATTCCACCTCATTCCACCTGATCTAATAGGTCTTTATTGAAAGTCATTGCATGTTATCTTATCTTGCTGATATTTAGATTGTGAAAGCCAACAGCAAAGGTGGGAATTGGCTGTGATCTATCAGATTCTAAATCCTGACTGTTTCTGATAAAAACACACAGGTTTTAATTCTTTACATTCTAAATCAATCCTTATGCACACCCAATGACCTTCTGGTAGTCAGTATAAATAAAAATATTATTTAGGATATACACTTGTAGAAAAAAAAGTGGGGCAGAGCAGCCATCATATGAAAACCTTGTAAGTGAGGGCATGTCATATGTAACACCTCTCTGGTATAAAGTTTAAGAAATGAATGGTGGACTTTATATATGATTCTTAAAAGCTAAGAAATAACAGACACAGAACTGCAAACCTACTCCAGTCTGTTAAACAAGGTATGAATATTCTCTTTCTTATTCTCAACAGAAAAAAAAAAAGTTTCCAGTTAGGTAATTATTCTAAATGCACTTCTAATTGTGGAAGCTTAGACTGTCTCATGCATGATGAAAGGCGAATTTTATATCTATCTCTCCTGAATAAACTTATTTCTAGTAAGGCGAAAATGTTGCTGTTATTTTTGCAGCTTCAGTTCAAACCTTGTTGATTTGTCTTATAATCTCTGAGGACATCTAGTGGCCAGGGAAAGTGTCTATATAATATCCAATATAATTTATTTGTGAGGCATGGGAAATAAAATTAATGAAAAAGAAGTGCTATTAAAGGTAAAAATATGTACACGTAGTCTTTTATTTACAACTGTAATTGAGCCCAGAAGAAGAGAGGGACAAATTATTTTCCAAAGCATCAGAGGGCATCATAATTTCAAAAATAGTGGGAGTAGCTCTGGGGAGATCCATAGTAACTATGAACAGTGGTTAATGGTTGTTTATGAACTGGTCATAAATCTGGGACTACTGGTTACCAACTGGCTTCTGGGTGCAATTCAAGCCATAATGGCATGGGGCTTGGCTTTCTGATGGACCACTTGCCTCCTGTAGTTTCTGTCTGTTCTATTTGATTGGACAGAGTTGGTATGCTTAAGTCCCGTAAGTTAAGTAGTGTCTTCTGATGGGACCCAGAAGCAGTCCTGTTGCTCTCTGGAATAGTGTTCTCCCAGAGATGGGAGTCCTCATTCTATGACCACATTCAAATGAGTTCTTTAAAAGGGCCTCCCCCTTTAGCCTCAGGCAAGGGTGCGTGATAACGGAATGCATTGTATAAAGTGTGTGTTGTTTTGCTCTTCCCGGATGTTCCCTGTTTTTTCCCTCACTGTTATTGTTTAGTTGTTCTAATTTGTCCTTAACATTGCAAAATGCCCAGAGTCATTATGCATTCAGGTGGCCTTACAGATTTGATAAACAGACAAATAAATAAAGGACTGAAAGCTCTACTACTCAAGATAATAGCTAGTGACTATTAATGGCACACTGTAAAGATACTTTTCAGTATCCTTTTAAAATCAGCTTTTTCATCTTTTCCCCCTAACACTTCAGTGCTTGCTTCAATTTGTGTTTCTCCCAAGCCTTATGTTTTCATAGGCTTGTTATAACTTTCTACCTCCTAGATCATGTTTTACTTGCTAGGCCCAGCACAGGGAGAAACACAAATATGAAATACACGAGAGTACTGTTAGTAGTACTACCACTACTAGCAACACTACTACTACTACTACTACTACTACTACTACTACTACTACTACTACTACTATTACTACTACTAGCAACAGTTTTTGTCGAAACCAAGAAAGTGTTTTATTTCTGTTTTTATTCATGAAGGATTGTCCATAGGGTATCAAAAAAGATAAGATGGTGGTCATAGTTTCATGATCAAAACCCTACCCTACCCTACTGTGATGGAATGTGGTCCAGATTCCCAGGAGGGAGGGAGTGCATTCCAGAGGAGCAAGAGACAACGTAGCAGTAGGAGACTTACATACCACTTTATAATGTTTACAGCACTCTCTAAGCAGTTTACAGAGTCAGCATATTGTCCTCAATGATCTAGGTACTCATTTTACCAATGTCGGAAGGATGGAAGGCTGAGTCAACCTTGAACCAATCAGGATCAAACTCCTGGCAGTAGGTAGAATCAGCCTGCAATACTGCATTCTAACCACTGTGCCACCATGGCACTAGTTTCTAGTGTGAGAGAAAGAGGGTAAATACAGCTACTCCCTAATAGTTCCCAGAGTATATACTTCATTGTGCAAGTAATCTGCTTGACATGGCAAGATTTTTTTTTATCTATAGGTGAGAACAGTAAAGGAAACGGCTTAGAAGAATCTCAGTGTTTCTTTCTTGGTTTTTGGAACCTGCTTATATGAAAACATGAAAAAATGGGGCTTTATTTGTAGTTGTGGCCATAATCTGGACTCTTGAGCTCTCTGTAGAAACCTCTGGGTGAGGACAAAGTGAAAGAGGTTTGGATTGGCATTTCAACACCTCAAGTATTGTTTTGCAAATGGAATGGATAGTGTGCAAAGCTGTATAAAAATCTGAACATTAGAACGAAGGAAAAAATACTTTTCTTTATCAGAATGCTTTTGGGCATCTCAAACCTTAGTTTTAACAGTAAAAGTGGGCAGCTGCTTAATCAGGCAAACTGATTACATCCTGAACATGTGATAATTTGCTGACATAATTTTTCTTTCTCCTTTTTGTTTGATTTGGAGAAGATAGCCCACTGAAGATCCACAGAACAGAAACCTTTCCTACCTATCGGTCAGAACATTGATAAAATGGAGCCAAGGACTTTAACAAGCCACGTGTTTCTGTGTTGAGATAGACTGGTCCAACACCAAGGCTTGCAATCAAACTGGACAGCAGATGAAGGGAAGAAAGACTGGATTATAACTGCTAGATTATTTCTTAATTTTCAGGAGGAGACTGGCTTGAAATTATCACTTGTAATTTGCAGTGTTTCATAATCACATCTGGAACAAAGAAACTTTCTTTCAGTATGGGCTTCATGTATAGTTAATATCTGCTGTTGATTTGTCCTTTGCTATCAGTTGTTCAACATTTAGTTCATCCATTTTTGTGTTTTCTTGAATAATGTAGTTTACAGTCTATTTTCTTGTTCCAACACTGACTGTAGCACTTTTCCACTTTTAAGAATGGTTGCTTATTTTTAGGAACAGGAATCAGTTGTCCCTGTCTATTAAAGTCTGGTTTTGTCTCTGCTAAGCTATCTAAAGATAATTCTTGTGTCTCTATGTTTATTACATGTTCAAGTGCTCAAATATGTATTTCAGAACTTTAGAAATAAAATGGCCTTTCCCATATTGTTAGAAAGATTACATGTGACTTTTCTGGGATGCGCAAAAACAGCTATAATGCCCAGGATTCTGTAGGCCATAATACTAAGCCATGTGGCATTAGCAACACTTCACTTTAAGCCAGCAGCCCCCAACCATTTGGGTACCAGGGACCCCTTCCATGAAGAGATTTTTTTCCACAGACTGGAGGGGTTGTGCTTTTGTGTGCTGCCTGCATCCCACAGATGAGACTTTGCTTGTTTGTAGCATGCTGTGGACTATGGTGCTGGTCCATGGACTGGGCTTGGGGTTGGGGACCCCTGCTTGAAACCCCATGTTAACATTATGCACTGAAAAGATTTCATATTGTATGAATGGTTCAATACCTGTTCAGAACACAGAGAAGAGCTTTTACATTTTTGCTAGTTCGTGATATGAGAGCATGTTAATGACAGGTAATGCTCAACTTACAACCATCCATTTAGCAACTGTTCAAAGTTTCAAATGGACAGTGGGACCCTGGGGGGGGGGGGAGGAGTAATGATTACTGCTTGCACAAGTTTTTCCTCAGATCTCACCTTATGTAAGAACCTGCCTCCCAAGGAAGCAGAACTCTTGAAACAAGCATTGTCTCAAAAGGAACTTTTATTAGGGACTAGAGATCGTGAGGAAAACAAGGCAAGATCTGAGGAAAACCCTGTGCAAGCAGTATATCAAAAGCAGTAACGTTACTCCTCTCCCCTCCCACTGTCCATTTGAATTCCAGCCAACCCACAGGTGGCATATTGTTTTGGTAACTGGCTCCTTTGGCACGCTCTTCAAGGTCTCTCTCACTTTCCTTTCCCTCTGGCTCCAAACGTCTTTTAGATAAGGGTGATGTTATTCGGCTGCATTCCTTCTCCTGGGGGAAGGGCAAAGTGGCAAGACAGTGCAAAGCATCCCCAAGACATCCCCCCCTCCCAACAGAATGGCAGGCCCCAAATAATGGTTATATACTATAAGAAAAAAAGCAATACATTTCTTTGGAGATCTGACAGTGGCACTGAAAAAAGTGACTTATCTATATATATAAATAAAAATGTAAATGTTCGTTTGTTCAAAATCATAAATCTCCGAAAGTTCTTCACCGATTGCTTTGAAATTTTGACAAAATTTGTTGCATTCGAATACGCGCGTGTTTTTATATACCTACTATTATATAGATGTCACACCTGTGACAGGTAAAAACACGCTTTTCCATTTAACCAGACTGAGCCACAGCAACGCGTGGCCGGGTACAGCTAGTGACTAATAACAATAACAACAACAATAACAACAACTTTATTGTCACTTTGAAAGTACACCATCGGCATACATCAAAATGAAATTTCATTGCATACAGCTCTCAAAGGATCACCACTTCCGATATACACTCCTTGTTCGTGGCCAGCTCAAGTTACAGATCTTCCATTTTAGTCTCTAGGGAGCGAACGATGGCAAACAGGACAGATGGAAACGGAGCTCCATGTGGATTATCCCTCAAATTAGCATGTATTCTGGCACGACAACCTTGCCTCCTTTCCTTTTTCTGATCTTGTCTCTTCCACCTTTTCCTTAAAGAGGCCTAACTCCTTTTCACCCCTGGAGAACACTTCTGCCGCCACCAACTCCTCCAAAAGCCTCTCTTCCATCCTCTGGGCCTGCCAAAAGCCTCATCCAGTTCCTTTGCTCCATAAGCCCCAGGACCTCTCCTCCTCTGCCTCCTTTGGAAACAGCCCTTATTTGCAATAGAATCCGTCGCTGGGCCAGCAGTCAGATCTAGTCCTCATACTTATGACTACTGCAGCATCCCCATAATCACATGATCAAAATTCAGGCACATGGCAACCAGCATGTATTTACAACAGTTGTAGCATCCTGGGGTCATGTGGTTGCCATTTGGGACCTTCTGAGCAAGCTTCCAACAAACAGAGTCAATGGAGGAAGCCAGCTTTGTTTAAAGAACATATGATTCACTTACCAACCATGGCCCAAAAAAAAGGTTAAGCCATATACAACTCACTTAATGATTGCTTTGCTTAGCAATGGAAATTCTGGTTCCAATTGTGATCGTAAGTTGAGGACTGGGACACAGAAAGGATATCAAAGCTCATGACCTTAACTATCATAATTATGGTTAAAATGATTTAGGTTATAACCCCCTTGCCCAGGGCAAGAATCCTAGACAAATATTCTAAAATAATTCCAAAAAAGTGGCTGCTCAACTTTTGAAAATCTCTAGTGATGGACCATCTATAACTCAGGGAAGAATCTCTCCTACTATTTAATAGTTCTCACAGTGAGGAAATTCACTCTTATTCTTCAGTTCAGTTCTTTAAGCTAAATATACTGTGAGCTGTGATGGCGCAGTGGTTAGAATGCAGTACTGCAGGCTAACTCTGTTCACACTGCCAAGAGTTTGATTCCTTAAATCCTGACCGGCTGAAGGTTGACTCAGCCTTCCATCTTTCCAAGGTCAGTAAAATGAGGACCCAGATTGTTGGGGGCCATATGCTGACTCTGTAAACCATTTACAGAAGGCTATAAAGCAGAATGAAGCAGTATATAAGTCTAAGTGCTATTGCTATTGCTATACCTAAACATAACCAGATCTTTTAACTTTTCTAAACAAGATTTAGCATCATTCGATGCACCTAAGATTCTGAGAAACAAAACATATTTATCATATTTAGTGCCTAAAACAGGAAGATGAAAATGAATGGATAGTCTTTGGTAACCAGGAGCTAAAGTTAATTTAGATCATTGTTAGGCAGGCAGAAATATGATACAAGATTGTCAGATTTTTTTTATACACAGAGGAGGCAATTTTTTTTCTGGATTTATATCCATTTTTTTTTACATATGGCTTATACTATAGTCTTCATTACTTTATAATAGCTTTGGCACAAAACTACAAGCAATCATATGATTGATTTTTAGCAATAGTAGCAATAGCACTTAGATTTATATACAGCTTCACGGTGGTTTACAGCCCTCTCTAAGCAGTTTACAGAGTCAGCATATTGCCCCCAACAGTCTGGGTCCTCATTTTACCAACCTCGGAAGGATGGAAGGCTGAATCAACCTTAAACCGTCAGGATTAAACTCCTGACAGTTGGCAGAATTAGCCTGCAATACTGCATTCTAACCACTCCACTACAATGGCTAGTAGACAAATGAGACTGCAGAGTTATAGAAACGTGGATCCAGGAACTACATTTAAGACTCCTGCCCCAACATATATAGATATTTTAAACACAAACCCTGTTCCCCCTTTCCCCCTCATCATATATGAGGCAGAGTCATCCTGCTGTTGGCAGAATTAATTTAGTACCCTCCATCAAAGAACCAAATGGTATTTTCACAATGACTTGTGTTTGCGTGCGTATGTGTGTGCATTTGACTTTGAAACAAAATCCCCCAACTTTTTTTGTAAAGCTTCTTTCTACATGCTTGAGCCTTTTTAGGTGTTTGTTCATGATTGCCTGCTTCTGTTCCAAATGTATTCTGACGTTGTAGAATCTTAGGATTTTCTCAACGCTCCTGACTGCGGAAGAAATAACATTGTGATCATCTTTCTCCAAACAAGCTTCTTTGCTGTGCTCTGCTTGACCAAAAGGTGTTACCCTAACACTGTGTATTGTGGTGTCTACATAAACTAAAGTAAGACCCAGAAACACAGCACAATCATTACAGCAGCAAAGAAAAGATGCTAATGAAAAGCTACAAGCATCTGCTCCAAAAACATTGCTAACAGAGCATAGAAACATAACCAGGCATATTAGTTCTGTCAGCTCGTCCTCACTCTGAGCTTGGGAACTTGACACTTAAAGATCAAGATACATTACCTGCAATCATACACCCACTTAGGCTGTGTAAAAATCAATTTGTTGGAATTATGGAATGTGTCCACTCTCCCAATTTGTGAAGGCTTAAAAAGAATGCTGGATTTTTATTACCTTCATTGCTTAACTTTAGAACTGTTGATATATTAATTGGGGTGGAGGGGGTCTGTGTGGAGCACTGAAAGGGAACATTATGCAGCCATTCATGTATTTTAGAAAAGAAAAAGTTAACTTGGGTTAAGTTACCAAATGGTATGTATACGTGTTTAATGGCATTAATTGTAGAAACAGGTGCAATTAATGCCATTAAAAAAACTACTGAATTATAATTCAGAGAATTCAGACTTTTTTTTTTAGTTGCATGCTTGCAATATAACTACTGGGATCTCCAATGGAGATAGACCCACCCTTCTTCATCAAATTATGCAGTCAACAAGTCCAGGAGGAACTAAATGCAATATAAATGCACATCCAGATTAATCCATTTTCTCTCTACTTCAACTTTAGAAATATAATTCTGCCTCTCTTGCTGGACTGGGTCAATTGATACAATATGTAATGCTGAACTACTATGGATATTCTTCTATCACCCTTCCATTATATATACTTATTGAAGAGTCAGTTTGAAGTTTCAGTCAAGAGGTGGTTTCAATCAAATCATTTCTTTCATTGACTCCTGCTGAATCAATTTAAAGCATCAGAGTGGATATTTTTTATTCAATTTGACGATTGTTTTTCCCCCCTAAATTGAATAAACAGCTTGGATTGATTATTTGAAGTACCTCTTGAGTGATTCACTCACCACTAATATTTAGAGTGGTAAATGTCTTGGTTTTTTTTTAAAAAAAGTGTTTTCCTGGTTCTTCTGCTATTTTTTTTATTAAAGACGAGTTCCTTGATGTTCCTTAAGCAATGTGGTTAATGACCTGATCTGGGTTGGAAGTACCTTAGCTCTTAAAGGCCACTTCACCCTGTTCCAAGTATGATCCTTCTGTTTGGCTGCTGGGCATTAACCATTTTGGTCTGAGCTGCAGAAAGCTGTGGAAAGTCAGCACCCCCATCCCCCCAGAGAATGAAATATTTGGGGGAATATTAAAAAAGGCAGCATAGAATATTTCCCCTGAAGAAGAAATGGAGATTTTTTTTTAATCCATTAAGAAAGAC